GTGAATAATTAGCTGATTGCTAATGGTGAAGATTGGAGAGATTGGAAATAACTTCCCCAGAAAGAGGTTTCTGGTGGACCAAAGACAATTTTTAAAATTTTTAAAAACTTATATTTATCTGAAAGAGAAAGAGGGAGAGAGATAGGAGAGAGAAAGGGAGAAAGAGAGGGATTCCACCCACTGGTTCACTCCCCAAATGCCTGTAAGTTGGGGATGAACGTGACAAAATTAGGATCTAGAAACAGTTTCCCACATGGTAACAGTGTCCCAACTATTTGAGACATCATCACCCAGAGTACACATTGGCAAGGAGCCAGAATTTGGAGCAGAGCTGGGATTCAAACTGAGGCCATCCAATATAACATGTGGACGTCCCAAGAAGTTTTGTAATTGCTAGGTCAAATGCCTATGCTCAAGGCTAATTCTGTAAATAAATGAGAAAACTGTGACCCAGGGAGGGTGCATGTGCTTGCTAAATTTAGCTGGGTGGGTTTACTGGGTTTCTCTGGAGAGAGAGAACCAATAGGATATTTTAGTAGCCAACTTTTTATTACTTAAACTAAAATACCTGAAATGAGCTACTTATTAAAGAAAGTTTTTCAGCTCACAGTTTGGAGGTTGACAGTCCAAAATCAGGCGACGCCATTGATCAGGCATTTGTTGAGTGTGGTGAGTGGCAGAACATTTATGGAGAAAGGATTACTTTGTAAACCAGGAAACAGAAACAGGGCGTTATCCACTATGCTTGTGTGGTTTATTCTTATAAAGCCACTGTGATTATATCATAAGAGCTCTACCCAAGAACCAAATCCAAACTATCTTCCAAAGACCCAAACTTCAGAAATATAACTGAATGTAGCCTTTACCCTAGTTCTTCAACTATTAACATTAATTCATTAACCTTTAACTTAAGACAGGATTAAACATCTGCATGAGTTTATGTTATAACTATAACAGAGCCAAGCTATTATAATAAACCTACCTATATGTGTGTATGTGGGTGTGTGTGTGTGTGTGCACACATGTGAGTGTTCTATCCATCTATTGGATAAGCCAATGTCTTATAATACATTTCTTTTATATGAGTCATTGGCTCACATCATTATGGTGACTGAGAAATCTCAAGGTATAGTTTAATTCCAGTCTGAGTTCAAAAGCTTGAGCACCAGTGGTGGTCATGGTATAATTCTTGTCCAAAAGCCAGCAGGCTTATGACCAAGAATTGCTGATGGGATTTCAAGTCAATTCAAGTAATAAGATATGAAGACTGATCTCTTAGTTTAAGGCAGCCAGGCATAAAGAGCGCTCAGTTATTGAGCTTTTCTGTTTACAAGGTGAATTTTCTTAGGTCACATGCTTGGCCAGAGTATTTTAGATATCTGATTCTTTTTGATTTTAGAATATTTGCTATATATGTTGAGATCTTGAGGTAGACCCAGCTCTAAACATGTAATGTATTTGTATTCTGTATATACTTTGTAAACATACTCTGCAGATGTTTTCATATGATATTTTAGTGCACTTCAGTGTTGACAGTGACTCATCATATGAGGTCAGATGTGAAATTTTCTATTGTTATTTTATGTTGATCAAAAGATTTCAGATTTGGAAGATTCTGGGTTTCACACTTTTATATTAGGAATGGTTAAATATTTTTAAGATTTATTTATTTATTTGAGAGGCAGAGTTACAGACAGAGAGGGAAAGACAGAGAGAGAGGTCTTTTCATCTGCTGATTCACTCTCCAAATGGCTACAACATCTGGAGCTCAGCTAGTCTGAAGCCAGGAGCCAGGAGTTTCTTCTGGGCCTCCCATGTAGGTGCAGGGGCACAAGCCCTTAAGCTGTCTTCCTCTTCTTTCCCAGGTCATTAGCAAAGAGATGAATCTGAAGTGAAACAACCAGGTAAACTGGCACCCATTTAGGATGCCAGTGCCTCAGGCAAAGGTTTATCTGACTATGCCACAGTGCCAGCCCTAGGAATGGTCAACTTGTATTCAAATCTTCAGTTGTCTAGTAGAGGCCCATTCTCATTAAGATGGACAGGTAGCTTTACTCAGACCACACAAGTGTTAAACATCATCAGAAACACATTGAAGATACTATTTCACCAAATAGCTGGATATTCCATAGTAATTTTGGAAGTGGGTCATAACTGCAACCATGATACTAGTGATATTATAATGAGTCTGGGGTTAATTAAGGTAAAGATATGGCTGACAATGTCACTGCCTTTTCTGAAATATTTACCAACCCTATAGCGTTTGAGTTGTTATTTCCGTAGTCCAAGAGACTGAGCCATCTCAGTTTGACTCATATCTAGGTGTCTGTCTACTCGAACAGACTCAGATTGGGAAAATCAGATAATCTTTACCTTGATTTTGTGGCTCAAATAAAGTAATTCTAATTCACTATGGATATTTGACTAAGCTATAAACTTGGAAACTATAAAGTAATTATCACAAAGCTAACATGTGAAACGAGAAGAAATCTATTTTCCAGAAAAAAAAAATTAATGTGTATACATCAAGGACAAAATAATTGGCCAAGTTGTCTTCCAAATCTAATCCTACTTGAGAACCAGTTGAAATGTGGTTGCCTATAGAATCATTGGAATGATTAAAAATCTTAGACTATCAAAAACTGTTTTAATTTTTGTGGAGCTAAAGAGTTCCAAATTATAGCAACTAATACTAACTATTAGCTTCACCTATTTTAGTTTTTTTTAAACAGATGTTGTCCATAGGAAGTTACCAAAGGTAATACTATAGTATGTATCCCTTCCAAATATTGAAAATCAATTACTTCTATGAAATAAAATAACAAAACTCACAATAAGAAATCACAGAAGTTAATAAAAGAAAAAGAACAAGGTAGTGGATGTCTTCAAAATTAAAAGTACATTCATCACAGTCTTCAAGGATAAGAATACATTGCCTTTGAATGCATCGCCTTCCCTGGCTCAGTGAAACAAGGAAGGAAGCAGAGCAAGGGGCTGAGGACTGTTTGGGATTTCAGGAAGAGTGTTCTGGTGCAGATTTTCTACAGTGCTTAAGGCTTTGTTTAGTAATTTTGAGAGGATTCAACAAAGCACAGCTTTGCTCTGAATTGGGTGATATTGGAAAAAGAAGAGATGATTGTATGATGATTGTCTTAATTATTTTTTTCTGGAAATTAGGAATGAGCTAAAAATTTAATTTTTAGAAAAGCAGAAGTCACTTAGGCTAACTGGTAGGAGAGGATATTTGGTCATTTTTGTTATTTGGACAATGTTCTCCTTTATGTATTGCTTGAATGTGATTGTGAGCTGTAATTGTTTTCACTTGGCTCCATCTTGATCTTACGGTAGTGTTGTGTAATGTTAATTTATTGTGAGTGTATGTTCCATTTGAAAACACCATTGCCTAATTGTAGCAATAAGCCGTCAGCAGGGCTATTCTTTTCCTATCTTCTATTTTTCCCTTTTTCAGCACAAATCTGGAAAATATAGCCACGATTTGGCTTGAATGTGAAGGAAATCCATATCTTAATCAATAGTAATATACTCAGAAAGGGGAAATGTAATTTTCTGTTTCCTTCTATACACATAACTAAATAATCTGAACAGCACTCTACCTATATACCAATTGATCTTGAATAAATTCAGAGCACATCTTATAAAACATGTCTGCATTCATAGAAAATAAAAGGACTCTAAGGACCAAACAACAAAGTCACTACACAACTCAGCAAGTATGGCAAAGCAGTCTTACGGTACTCATCTTCACATTCGTTTAGCAGTGTTTGGTTGAACACAAGACAAAGTAACTATTGCTCATTCTGATTTTGATATACATATAGTCCTATGACTGGGTTTGGTCAATGAACAGAATGCAGTCAAGTGATATGAAACTGTGTCTCTTGCCCTTTAACTGTTTTTCCTTCCTCCCTCTGCCAGATGTGGTGTATATAAGTGAAAACACGTTAGACCCAGAGTTAAAGAACAGCTAGGGAAGACTGACAAAATAGAAGGAACTTGGGTCTCTGAAATATGGGGCAGCAATGCCCGTTTTAGACTGTACCTGAATATTTACATGATAAAAAAACAAACTTCTATATCACTTAATTCACTGCTCTTTTTAGGTTTTTCTATTCCTCTTCTAAACCTAGAACAATTGATGCAATCAATAATAATAACTATAAAGGCCAGGATTCTATCACAGAGATTGTTATCACTAGGGTTCCTGGTTTTATTTTTTATTTATTTAATTATTATTTATTATTTTTTTTTAGTAAAAGAATTCAGTCAAGAGACATGGAGCGGCCAAGCAAGATACTGAGAAGTAGGAGCGGGCTGTCCCGGGCTGTTAGGGGATTTGGTATAAGACAAACGAGGATACTAGCACTAGTATCTGGAAACGAAACCCAGGCTTTTCGAGGTTGAACCTGAGACTTTTGTATTAAGTCATGACTCTAAGAAGTCCAAGGATTGATAATTTCACCTGGTTCCTACAGTAATAAAATGTAAAACCTGCTTTAAAGGGAAGCAGCTCTGCTGAGTCTCTCTGGGCTACTGTTTGTGATAATAATCTTAGGATGAGAAGAGAAAATATTTCTAGTGTCCTAATATCAGAATAGGAGACTAAAAATGTTCTTTTTACTTTTGAAGGTCTTTATCTTATAAATATCACTATAGATTAATGACTTCATTCTGCTTTGTGTTTTATCTTCTTAGGGACTGGAGCACCTGAGAAACTAAGTTTGTAAAACAAACAAACAAACAAACAAAAAACTCAGTTTAGAATATGACAGCCTTTCCTGGAATTGGGAGAGGTGAGGAAAGATATAATGTAAAGAAGAAGGATAAAAAAGGATATTTATTCAGTATTTACTTTGTCAGGCGCTCTGCATCCCACATGGAAAATGGGCTGAGAGATACTAACAAAGGTGTTAAAAACTGTACATTTTGGAGTGAAATCCCAGGGCCAGCTATCCGTAAGAAGAAGAAATATCTTTACCAACCTCCTTCCACAGCATTCTGTGATCTCTGGTCCTCTAACCATTATCTGCCCATTTATCTTCTCTGGCTTTTTTCCTTAGGCTGCATAATAAATTTAACAAGTCAATATAGCTCCAGAAAAATGTATTATATAAACAAATCTAACCTCACAGTTCCTAGTTCAAAAAGAGTGTATATAATCATTTAAATTAAATATTTGTTTAGCAAATTACAAATTAGTATTAGAAGTATATGTATGATTTCATGCAAATAAAATCAGCATATCTTCATGAAAATAAACTATAGAAAACTGTTTTAAACACTTAGAAATAATTGAGATGTAGTAAAACAGTTCAAAGTAAGCATTTTACTGTAAATTTTATATTCCATTAATCATCTTATTTGTACTCCAAAAATTTAACATTGTAGTCTTATGTTTTGCTGTCTAGTAGTAAATCTTATTTGTAATTGTATTGTGCTTCTATTCTTATATATGAATTCAACATCATTTTGCCCAGTTGAAGTTTCTTTCATGTAACTTTTATTACTACATTGTTGTGTATATTCCTATGGACAGAAAGAATTCTACCTCATTGTTGACTTCTACATATAAATTACAAATATTATTTCTTGACCTCTAAATTCCACATAAGGATTGACATTCATATATAAATTGTTCGTATTATCTATTTATCTGTATATACTTTTCTAGTTTGCAACTTGCACCCGTGAATCATACAAATATCTGATTCTACTTACTTTTAAGCTTTAGGTTAAGTTTTAGCTTTAAATCTCTGTTTACATTTGCTTTCAAACTGTAAAATATGTGACTATCATTTTATATACTCTACTCTGAATTCCGTTATTATGAATTGTTTTCAGTATCCCAACAAGATGATTACCTGAGATAATTTTTCCTGTTTAATCTGGATAATTCTTATATTGTTCTGTAATATGAACTTCCTTCTTTCTTCATTCTGGCTACATTTATACATGTGAATTATTCTTGGTTTTATTTAATTATCAACATGGGTGACATTTAATTTTCATTGTCATTCTTCAGCTAAAAACAAGGTCTATGTGTTCTGCTGTTCACATAGTTCTTTTCACAGCACTTATCCATCTAGTGAGCACTTTTGTACTCCACTTGGGTCTTCTATCACAAAGACTAGTATTCAGATATGTTTACTAAAAAAAAAGATTCTGGAATCAAACCTTTTACTCGCACCATTTTCACACACTAGAATTGAAACAAAATAATTTCCAAGCCAACTACTTTGATATACGTAATAAGTACCTGCTCCAGTAGGAAGGAGTTAATAACATCATCCCCTTCTTTCTTATCATATATTTTTCTTTCTAGTAGGACAAACATGTAAATGATTGTGTACTTGTTAAAGAAACATAAAAAGAAATAATTTCTGAGATAAGTACATATAACAATCTTGTGCTATGTGTATGTTATATAGGTGAAGAAAATCTATTTCTTTTTAATGCTTGGATGACTTTTAAGGAAATTAAGCAGAATTCTTACAGAACATCTACCCTGCAAGAGAGGAAAATTAGAGAGGCCCATAGGTGCTATGGTCAGCTTTTCCCTTTGGACTAGGTTGCTGGAGAGAGCAGGGAGACAGCAAACAATACCAAAGTCTTCTGCAGGCAGGAAGCTGGATCTTAGGTGTTTCAGGAAAAAAAAAAAAAAAACTAAATCCAGCTTCTTCAACAGGTGCTTTAGCAGAAATGTGTCTGAGCAGCATGATGGTGGGAATCATACTTATCTCAGTCTTAGCTGGAAGGGGAGAAGTAAAAGAAAAACCTGCTAGGAAGAATCTCTGAGCACACGCCCTCAATTCACTCACTAACCTGAAAAACCTGGTGAAAATTTATTTAAAGTACTCCTAGATTCATAGTGAGCCAGACCAGTAATAGGAGGAAAATGAAATCCTTTATTGAGGCACTCACATTTCAACTAGGACTCAAAAAATTATCACTGGAAAGATCAAAGTAGCATTAATTCCCTCACCCTCACTCCAAATACCACAGAATGCAGTTTCTTTCTTTTTTTGTTTGACAGGTAGAGTTATAGACAGTGAGAGAGAGAGAGACAGAGAGAAAGGTCTTCCTTCCATTGGTTTACTCCCCAAATGACCGCTAAGGCCTGCAGTGCGCCGATCCGAAGCCAGGAGCCAGGTGCTTCCTCCTGGTCTCCCATGTGGGTGCAGGGGCCCAAGCACTTGGGCCATCCTCCACTGCCTTCCCGGGCCACAGCAGAGAGCTGGACTGGAAGAGGAGCAACTGGGACTAAAACCGGCATCCATATGGGATGCCGGCGGCACAGGCGGAGGATTAACCAAGTGAGCCACGGCGCCGGCCCCAGCATGCAGTTTCTCGTCCTAGAAACACTGAAGACCAAATGATAGAGTTGTTGTTTTAGACAATACAAGTGTATTGTAATATGACACAGGGGATTTGAATCATGATACATTTACGTCTTTCCCTTTTGAAGATAAAAAACTATTCCTTAATTGACAAATAAAAATTTTACGTATTTATGGTATAAATAGAATGTATTTTTATGTAAGTATGCATTATAGAATGACAAAATCAAGCAAATTCCCATATGTATTATTAGCTCATATACATTTTTTGCCATTGAATCTGTTCTAGCAGTTTTCAAGAATACAATATATTGTTATTGATTATTACAAATAGAATGAATTCCATAAATACATGGTATTTAGGGCATATTTTATACAAACTTAATATTTAATCATATTCATCTTTTCTATTCTGTTAATGTTTAGTTCACTACCAAAAAAAAATCTGTATAGCTGTTTCTCTCACAATGTTCCTTGGGCTGTACTAATTTGGGATGATATTATCCCTTATGATGCATGATTTTTTATTAATTTCTACCAAATGTTGTACATCTGCCAGTAGAAACAGACGGCTTTGAGAGGGGTGAAATACATGATCTCTTGCACCTGTTACAGCCTCATACTATAAAATAAATTATTGAAACATGTTTTAAGCCATAAAAATCATTATAATTTTGTGGTTGGCTTTAATCTTCTATACTTCTACAGAATGAATTGCCCATGGATGCCATTTTTATGTAGAAATATATAGTTGCACATTCTTATCAAGAGCATTTATCAGTTAAAACATGAAACAACAGACCCTCTTATCTGTGGAAGATATGTTCAAAGACCCCTGACAAGTTCCAAGAGAAGGCCTGATACTTCATATCGTACTGAATCCCATATATTTTCCTTTAGTTCATGGAAAAAATATTAAAAGAGAAGTTTGTCGCAAGATTTTTGAAACCTATGATAGTTTTTTTTTCAAAATATGTATCTTCCATAAACTTTTTGAACTTGTCTCATACTGTATTTTTCTATTCATACATACATACATATCTATGAAAGAGCTTAATTTAGATACTAGTCACAGTAAGAGGTTAACAAGAATAACAGAAAATAGAATAATCATACTGTAATGAAACAATGTGAATGGTAACCACAAATGAGTTCTCCTGTCAGTTAATAGTGTTCTTTTTGTGTTATTAACACTTAAAACACATCTTATACATTTTATCATGGTTTCTTTGCAGCTTTATCTACATTAATATTGTGTGGCTAAAACTAAGACATTAGACATTAGAGGAAATGTTCACTTTTATACATTGACTATGTAATTTGGTGATAAGATAGACTGGCTTGAGTGAATGAATACTAATGAATAAAGTACATGAATTAATTTATTCTAGATTTCATTTACTACCCATATACTCGGAAATTTATTCCAGATCCAAGATTTAACGCACAAACAGCCTGATTTATCAGCACTCCTCAGTGTCTCCTCCATTTTCCCCCTGAATCTTTCTCATGGACAAAATTTTGCATGATCATCAGGAAATTAAGTTCAGCAGAGAAATGAGAGACAATCTGAGTACATTTTTTAAACTTCACCATGTCTCGGAGAAGACTAACAAAAGATAAAGTTCATAATATTAAAGTGTAAATCCTAAACCAAATGATTTTGCTTTTTAGTTGAATTTTTATAAATATTGAATCCTCAATAATATTGTCTCCTCTGGATAAGGGTCTTGTATTTTATTTTTTAATGTGTCTTAACTACACCTAAGGCACTGTGAGGTAGTCAATGTATAAACCAATTAGAAATCACAAAATTGAACTCATGTTTTAGAATTAGCTATTGAAAGCACAAAACACACTTCTGATATTTGATGATGCTGTTAATGAGAAATTGATGAGGAGCAGGTAAGTAGCAAGGGTGTGTTATAAATCACGTACACTAGACTCTTCTTCATAAGCACTGTTTTAGCTTTGTAAAAATCATTTAAAAATTTTGAGTGGGTATTAAATTTTTTCAAATCAACCATATTCTCCTAAATCAGTGTAAAATCCTTAGCCAGTAATGTCTTCATTAATCTGAAAAGAGCAACTGAAGCCTCACAGATGTAAAGCAAAATAGTAATTTAGAAAGTAGAATAATTATGATTTAATAACATGATATTTTCTTCATGCTTCTGGATAATATATAAAGCGAAAATGCATTTGACCTTATGTTTTCACACACAGATGCACTTTTAATTTGGATAATATCAACCTATTAAAAGATTATTTTCAGAACCATTCAGTTGAATAAAATTATTATTTTAAAAATTCTAAAGCACTAACTGAAGGTCAATGGTTCCTTATAGTTATAAATGTTAAGCCAAGGTTTGTGACTGTTTTTTCCTCCTGGTTATGGCATCAGGGTAAATAAGTCCTAAATTTCCAAATGAGCAATTTATATTTTGAGAAAAGTCATGGGTACTCATCGCATTGTTTAAGATTTATAATTACTAGGGTATAGTGTTGTGCTTCCAAATATGCTGAAAATATTAAATGTAAAGTAAAATAGAAAGCAAATACATAGACAATGTTATGCCAAAATACTTTATAAATAAAAATCAGATCATTTTCCCTGTCTGCATATACCAATTTACAGGAGTAATATTAAAGAAAAAGAAGTCATTTCTTACTATAAAAAGCCACTAGTGATAAGATGAAAATTTTGGTAATACTGTAAAATGAATGAGAACGGATTATTAGAAAGAAAAATTGAAACAGAAAATTCATCACTAGAGTCATTCAAGGAGAGAGCTAGTATGCATATTTTTGGTCTATTTATTTAAAATTTTTCTTCTTTTAATTTTTTCTCTAAGCTTCTCATATAATTATTTGTTTCTGAAAATGCTACTTATTAAAAATTCTTTATCAAAATATTTGTTGAATTGTAAATTATGTTTTATATTGTTCAAGTAAGGAGATGATTATTAATATATAATTTTAAGAATTACACAGTATTTCAACATGTTTTTCAGTGCTTGAGGAAGAAGTGGAAAATGATACAACACACAAGAATGCACTCAATGGACCAAGTATATTATTCACAAAATGAGTAAGTTCCAAAATTATTAAATTCTAGTTTCTCAATTAGCATGCAAATAGTCTTATCTTGAAAGTAAAGTTTAACAGGTTTGAGACCTAACTTTATAGAAGAATTCTGGAAAGAAAGAGTTTGAGCCACGCAGTGGACATCTGTGATGGTAAGTAAGATCCCCAGACACCAGCAAGTGGTGTTAGTGACAGCTGTTAAGGTTTTTCAGATTACTTTAAAGGCAAACAGTATGGCCCTGTCATAGCTTGAGTGTCTCCGTTTGGTGAAGTGGCTCACAGAGCATATCCATACCTTGGCCTTAAAGGGACTGTCATACTCTTAAGTTGGCTTATAATGTTGAAGTCGAGTACATGATGTCAGTAACTCATATGTGTGGTCTGAGAAAGGGTGATGTAACATTGTTGAGAGAGGGGAGTACACTGAAATTGTTGTCATAGAAAATGTGTTACCTTGGTAACCAACTATGTAAGGATTTGGAATTATTTCATAGTAATATAACATTATATCTCTCCTAGAGACTTACAATTTAGGTAATACAAGACACAGAGAAATGATGAATTAATTTATTAAAAAATATCTTTGAACATGTTAGATATACAGACCCGATTTGACAACTATTAAGATAAGCCCATGTTAATGCGATTAAATACACTTAGAAAAAAAGTACTGTTTAAAAGCACAATGTACTCCCACTAAAGTAGTCTGAAATAGCTGCTTGCTGGCTGAAGTCAGGAGCATCAAGGCAGTCTTCTTTGCTTGAAAATACCCTACTGACTGTCAGTGTTTATTTTAAGGTGCTCCCATTGGGATTGTGGTGTTGATAAGGAGCACCAGTATTCCATGGTGAATGGATATTAGAAAATAGAGACTGCACAGCCTTTCAGTTACTCCCTTCAAATTCTCTGTCTTTAAAAACTTCCCTTAATCATGTCTGTCTGAATCATTCCCCAGACCACTGCCATCCAATAGACCAAAAATTTATTCTGTCTTGGAAGTCTTTGTTCTTTGTGCTTTCCAGTGTGTTTTTCACCAGCCACATATAGCTATTGAATACTTGTAATGCAAATGTCATGGAAGAACTGATATGTAAGGGTTATTTTCTGTTAAATTTAAATAGAAGTTAAAGTTGTCATATGTTTGTGGTGTCTACTCTAATAGAAGTGAAACCCTAGAATTATTGTGAGGGAGAGGTACAGAATGCAAACTCCATTTGTATGATATGCATAAATTGTATAATGTTTCATGTTGTAAGAGTCCTAAGAAAATATTGTCATCATGTTTGGGGATTGAGGTGAGCTTTTAAAGAGTGAAAGATTGCAATAATATCATTTTCAAAATTGTATTATATGGTTTTCTGGCTATATTGAGTTAATAACACTTTTCTCTGAATTATGATAATGTGTTGCATATATGCATACGTTTACTAATGTAATCCAGCTAAGGACTCTAGGGACAAACACTCTTTGTTGGTAATTCAGTATTTTAGTACAGTGCTATTGGTGATTAGTTTGGAATTTTTTTCTATTTGTTCATTAGTGAGAATGTATTATTTTATTTTCTTGTACTCTCCTTGAGCACTTTATAATTAAGGGTACAATGTTCCCTCATATGTTTCATGATCCCCAATGAAAGCCTGAAACCATGGATAATACTGAACCCTATAGATGAGCACATTATGTATTTTCCTATGCATGCACACCAATGATAAAATCAAATTTATAAGTTAGGCACAGTAAGAGTTTAATAAAAATAACTAATAATAAAATAGAAAAATATAACAAAGTACTATGTAAAAGTGATTTGAATGTGGATTCTCTCTCTAAAATATTATATTGTAGGGGCCGGCGCTGTGACTCAGTGGGTTAAAGCCCTGGCCTGAAGCACCAGCATCCGATATGGGCACCGGTTCTAGTCCCGGCTGCTCCTCTTCTGATCCAGCTCTCTGCTGTGGCCTGGGAAAGAAGTAAAAGATGGCCCAAGTCCTTGGGCCCCTGCACACACATGGGAGACCCGGAAGAAGCTCCTGGCTCCTAGCTTCAGATCGGCGCATCTCCGGCAGTTTCGGCCAATTGGGGTGTGAACCAGCGGATGGAAAACCTCTCTCTCTGTCTCTCCCTCTCTCTGTAACTCTTTCAAATAAATAAAATAAATCTTTAAAAAATATTATATCGTATTTAGATATTTTTGGAAAATATGTATTCATTTTATAGAGTTACAGAGAAAGGGAGAGACAGAGAGGGAGAGAGAGGTTTTCTATCCACTGGTTCATCTCCAGAAGGCCACAACAGCCAGGGCTGGATCAGGCCAAAGCCAGGAACTTCATCTGTATCATCTCTGGTAGGGACCCAAGTAATTGGGGGCATCTTCTGCTGCTTTTCCCAGGCCGTTAGCCAGGAGCTGGATAGGAAGTTGAGTAGCTAGGACTCAAACTGGCACCCATATCTGATGCCTGTGACACAGGTGACTGCTTTTCCTGCTATGTCACAATGCCAGCCCCTGTATTTAGATTTTAACAACCTCATCATATGATTGTTTTATTTCCTTATTAATTTGAGAACTTTAATATTTTCATTAAAGAAAACATTTTATGACTTCTCTTTGGCTTTTCTCAATTACCAGAAATAATATTGTGCTTTGGGATCAATATGAGATAAAATAAACATTACTTGAACATAAGAACTGCAATATTGATGCAATAACCAAGATGGCTACTAAGTAACTAAGGATGCAGGTGGTACCTACAGAATGTATATGCGGGGCATGATTCAGACTACAGGCAGGATGGAGTGGAATGGCAAGAGATTTCATTTAGTGACTCAGAATGAGATGTAAACATTTGTTTTTCTAATTCTCTATTTAATTACTTTTCATTTTGATTTTTGTATTTCTTAGTCAATTCTATAAAATTCTAACTTTTTAAAATATCTTTATTTATTTGAGAGGTAGATTTACAGACAGGGAGAAGGAAAGAGACAGAGAAAGAGGTCTTCCATTCGCTGGTTCACTCCTCAAATGGTCTCAACAACTGGAGCTGCGCTGATCCAAGCCAGGAGCCAGGAGCTTCTTTCAGGTCTCCCATGCAGATGCAGGGGCCCAAGGACTTGGGCCATCTTCTACTGCTTTCCCAGGCCACAGCAGAGAGCTGGACTGGAAGAGGAGCAGCCGGGACTAGAACTGGCACCAATATGGGATGCTGCAGGTGGAGAATTAACCTACTGCGCCACAGCCCCAGACCCTAAAATTCAAATTTTTAAGAAAATCATTATTGCTGGACCTGATGGTATAAGTTCCAATTTCTATAATTCTTCATTCACCCAAGTGTATATGTACAGGACTCCCAGTGTCCAGCCTGCAGTGATCCAAGCTTCTTCTGGACTCCAGGGCATGTGTTATATGTTCCAAGTTCCCTACATCTACTGCCAACTCATTCCTGGCTCTTACTTCTGCCTGGACAGAGAATGCACCACATTCCAGTACAGTTGTTACTTAGGAAAAATCCACCAAACATTTCGGGTACCATCACAGTCATTGCGTTGTATCTGCACTACTGGAATCTCCCCTCCCTCACTTACTTCCTGAAATGAGAAATACTCTCAGACCCTAATGCTGCATGCACCATGCACAAAACCACTGATTAATGTTAAGGAAGCTATGGAAACACTACACTACATTGCCCAATTAGAAGCAAAGACAACATATCCGACCAAATCATACCCTAAGATGGATATTCAGGTGAAAGACACATAAAAGTTGTAAGACACTGAACCATCTGATGTCAGATCTCAATGTAGGGACACAATAACTAAGAAAAAGAAGGCACCTTGGTTCCTCAAAAATGAGTCAATAATTCTATCAACAGGCCACAAAGAAATGTTGATAGATGAAATGCCCACTAAAAATTTAAAAATAATCCTAACAAAGAAACTCAATGAGATACAAGAGAATTCATCAGATAGGCAGTTCAACAAAATTAGGAAAACAATCACGCTATGACAGCAAAAAAGAACAAACAAACAAATAAAAAACCCTGAAAATGAAGTACTCAATAAATCCTATAAAAATTCAGATGCAACCCTTGATAACAGACTAGAGCAAACAGAAGAAAGATTATCAGAACTTGAAGGTATGTTTTATAACATATCCCAATCAGACAAAAAAAAGAAAAACAAAAGAGATCTATGGGACACCATTAAACAAAAATGAAATTTTGAGGAATTTGTGAAGGTAAAGAAAGAGAAGAGGCATATAAAATCTGTTCAATAGAATAATAAATGGAAAAATCATCAATCTATGGAAAGTTATGAAAATACAAAATGGAAGGCCTAAAGCACCTCAAGTAGACCCAACTAGAAGAGGTTTTTTTTAATTATTTCAAATTATATTCAAATGATAAAAAGTATAAGTCAAAGGAAATTGTAAAAACTGCACAAGGAAAACATCATCATAAATTACATATGCAGAAGGAAATAAAGATTATATTCTCAACTTTAAATTTATGATTCTAATAGTTTCTAAGACCTGGATGTGTTCTGATGTGAGATGTAAGACATAATTGTATTCTTATAATTTTCCTTATGCTGAAGCAAATTTCAACTAGATTCTTTCCTTTACAACCCCAAATTTCCCAACTAAAACAATTCACTACCAAGAAAAAAAGTAAAAATAAGTCAAATAGTTTCACCAGTTTAAAATATTGCTTAAAGAAATTAAGTGGCAGTGGCTCTTCACTTCTGATTTCCTATACCTGTCAGAAGATACACAGAACTATGGCTAACAAGACAAGATTCAAAACTGTGAAATGCATACCATCATGGGTGTATCTTCTATCCAAAGTAATTGTAGGGACATTTAACTAGCATTTGTAGGAGGCCACTCTAAAGCATAGATCCACAAGACGCAGTTGCAAAAATAGATGCTATAATTTCTTATGAATTTGAAGCAGATCAAGGGTTCTCCAGAAACTGCTTTCTCATGATTCACACTGCATAAGGTCCAGCCACATAAAATGTCATATCTCTGAATAACACTCTCTTTTTTTCCAGTGAAAAACTTTTGAAGAATTAGAAATACACTTACTTCTCCAGCAGCAACCCATGAAAAGCTATCACTGGAGACTTATTAGGTTTAAAAATCCTGTTTTCAGGAATCTGCAACTTCCCACAATGCAGAGTCCGTAGAATATTGGAATACTGAAGATTCTAAACACTTAAAGACAGCTATATTTATAGCTGATGGTGATGCAGCTAATGTTTATTGAATGCTTGCTTTACACTAGATGTTTTAAGTACTTTAGATAGAATACTTTAATTACGTAGCAATCACACGAGACAAAGAATTATCGTCATTACCTTTGAGTACATACATTGTAATAAGGCCAAGGACCACCCAGTAGGATGGTGGAAATAATGGAATTTTAATCCTGGTGGTTTGGCTCCAAAAGGGACCACCATATGTGATTCTGCTCCTTGAGTGCTGTGCCAAGACTAGACAGCTGAATAACACAATTAAGCCTTGAAAATAGCTTCCAGGGTATGTGTGTGTTCTCTAATCTTATATTCATGCAGCTTTGCCCTTTACTTCTAAGAGGCACACTGCTATGCCAGATAAGGCTCTCTAAACTACAGCTACCTATACAGCATAATTTGATGTATTATTTTAATAAATATTTGTTGAGCACCTCATCAAACCTAATCACCATGCAAGGTACAATATAATATAAATTAAATTGTATTCTTGAAGCTTCTGGCCAAGGTGGGCTGAGATAGCAAATTATGAATTATAGCGTCAAGCATCTATGAAAGGCATGAGACACTTTGAAAGGCTAGACCTATATACATATGTGTAATGGCCCCTGAACTAGACAGGTCATGAAGTGACTCAGGAGGAGCTGGGATTGTAACTTGCAATATGAGGCAATTACCTTTGGCCTCTAACTCATAAATGTGTATTTCTTGTGAAGCAGTCCCCAACAGCAGCAAATTTAAAATTATTTATCTAAGTATTTAATTGAACTTCCTTGGGTTTTCTGATATTCATACTTGGATTTTCCTTTTTCCATTAGGGTTACATAGTTATTTAGTCATAATTGAACCCGGTATAATTCACATTGCATCTGCCTAGTTTAGCTCTGCTGACACCTATGATTATTTTTCCTTTTTTTTTGTTAGCAAGTATCATCTTAAATAACTTTTCTAAGCTCATGCCATCTGTGAAAGAAAAAGTAAATTTACTTTGTATATGATGTCTACTTCCTCTCTTCTAAAACTACTACTTTTTGACATTGGTAATAAGGTGTTGGTCTATCTCAGATGTGCATCAATAATATTTGCATACTGCCTCTATTATGAACAATAATTCTGCTCCCCATAAGGTATCTGGATCCCACTGTTGACAACTTAGTGTAAAAGAGTGGGGGATAATAGGTCATCTAGGCTTATTAACTCATTTTGTTTTTACTGGAAAATTCTCCTTTGTACCATTTTAGGTGTTATTCTACAATGTCAGATTAATATGTATTAAGATTGGCTTCTGCAAATAATTCAGTTGTGTTATTTTTCAGGAAGTCCACCCATGGAATATTAACAAAGGAAAATATTATATTAACTGACAAAATAAATAATTTGCATACTACTGAAATCAATGAATTGTTCACAAAACTTGCCAATCTAGGACATGAACC